GTGCCACTTGTATTCAAGACTTTATTATGACCCATTGTTTTGCCGACAGGCTACCATTTGAGGTCCAGCAATTCTGTGAAATGGCATGTTGGGTTGAGATGTATAAGGAAATCGCGGTTCTTCGAGACGAAATAGAAGTTCAAAAGAAACTAGTCGCATACTGGGAAGGGCGATGGAAGCACGAGTATTCAGAGAAAATTGAGCTTTTACACAAGAACCTAGAGCTAAAAAGGAAATTCGAAGGAATTTCCGAGGAGGCCCTTGAAAAGGCTCAACGAATCGAGAATGCAAAGGCGCAAGTGAAAGTTTCCCAAATACGGAAAAAGGTGCAGTGAGTTGCGTGAGTGAGGAACCTAGCGAAGCAGTGGCACCTTCTAAAGTACAGAAAGTGAACCAGTTATTCTGGCTGCCATGGACATTGGGGGCGGTAGATAAAAGATTTATCAAAGGAAGCCAAACCAGACAGAGGGAGACTTCTCCGGAAAGCAAAAAGATGGCTTCCCACTTGACTTGTGACTATTGCGGAAAGGCCAATCACACTGAGAACGATTGTTGGAGAAAGGGGAGAAGATGTCTGTGCTGTGGGAGCGCCGAGCATCGAATTGCTCATTGCCCGATTAAAGCGCGTAAAAAGAAAGGAACCCAACAACCAACCAAGACCGACCCTGGATCGTCAAGTGGAGAAGGGACTGGAATAAAAAACCTCGTTTCTTCTGACTCTGAAGACGGAGAAGGTACAGGCCATTGGTTACTTTAAATTTTGAAGGAAAAATTTCGAGGGCGAAATTTCTTTAAGGGGGAGAGAGTGTGAGAACCCGTAATTTTTCCATTTTCTAGGTTTTATTATATTTCTAGGTTTTCTTATCTTCAATGGTTTGTTTTCTGCACTTTCTGTATCCGGAAAATTTTCTAGATAATTTTTATGAGTAAATATAGTTTTTAGATGATTTTTCTAATATCAAATAGTTTTTGAGAAATTAAGAGCGAATACCGGACGTGGGACCCACTAGTGCGAAAAGTTCGGAAAAATTCAGCCAACTAGGTTAAGTTTTGAATACTGAAATTAATTTACCGGGTGTTAAGAGATAAGTAGAGGGTGCTAAGTGGATTGATATAAGAGAGACAAGGTTGGTGAACATTTATTAAAAGGTGACAAGTGTCACCATTTGAGAGGTTGAACCTTAAGACCACTATTCATGGTCTTACCATTTGACTTAAATAAACCAAAAATGACCCAAAAATCATCAAAATATCCTCCATGGTGGCCGAGATTCTTGAGCAACAAAAGAAAGAAAGCTCTTCCAGATTTTAGTTTCAATCTTGCTTCAATCATCAAAACCAATCATCCAACCTTGATTTTCCTCCATAAAACACCTTCAAGTAGTGTTTGTGAGTTGTTGTGTGAAGTTATTTGAGATGCTAAGATGACCAATAGCTCTCTCTCTCTTGTGTTAAAGGTAAGTTGTGAAGAACCACCCTCCTCCCTTAATTGATGCTTAAATCATGCTTAGTGGTTGTATGAGATGCAAATTTATGGGTTATTTCTTGATTTGTGATTGAAATGATGAAGTTTTATTATTTTTGGGAATTTTTCTGTTTTAATATAAGCATGATTGTGTGGCTATCTATGATGATTAGAAATGGTATATAAGGCATCTAGAAGGTGGAAAAAGTGGAAGATTGCAAGTAATTTCTGTTTTGGAAGAAAATTGAAAAACCTATGGTTCATGAAGCTACACTCTGTCCGAATTTTTAGGTCCTAGATAGAGGCCGAATTGGCCTTAGCTTAAACCATGAAAGTTGTAGGGAATGAAATTTTAGAGGTGCCTACAAAATTTCAGGTCAATCGGAGTAGTGTAGAATGAGATAAGTCGAAATTACTATTGCTGTTCTGGTTTTACCCGAATGCAAGAATTACGCCTGTAATTGGTTGTTTTGGCTGGAATTGCTTCCGAATTGGTTGTTGAGGTCTTCTGATGAAATGTATCCCTGTTTCTTAGCTTTCAACTGGTTTTGGAATTTCTGGATTTGGACTTGGAGAGCCTGAGTTATGATGTTTCCGCTAGAATGCGTTTTGGTGAATCTGTTTTACGTTTTTGATGTAGTATCTTGCATTTTTGACCTGTTTGCACTCAAAACTGGGTTGAGTGACCTTCTGTGATGTTGTAGCCCTGTCTTTTAGCTTCGAAATGGTGGGTCTTACACCCTCCTCCGATAATCGTAGTGAAATTGGTGCCATTACCGCAAAACGAGGACAAAAACTGTTTTTTTTAGGCCCAAAGATAATTGCATTTCCGAATTTTCTGGTTTCCTTTAATGTTTGTGTGTGCTTAGGGAACCCTGTTTTGGTAGTACATAGAATTGATTTATGACTTGTAATCGAGTTTTATTGTGTTCATTTGAATAGTTTAGGGCTTGACTTTCATATCCGGTTATTTCCTAGCTAAATTTTGTACTTGAATGCCATTAAGCCTAGTGAACGGCTTTTGGGAATGAGATTATTTTTGTACAAGATGTTGGGACTGATTTGAGGAAATAATGAAGCCATGATGGCTGGAAAATAGGTAAACACAAGGGATATGCTGCCGAAATTTTACTTGAAGGCTAGTTGGATTTACTTGTGTTTTGAACGAAGGGCTTTTGGGTTGTTTGAGCCTAGGTCTTCATGTTACCTTTTCGTTACCAAAAATCATGTTTTGCACCTTGCTTTAGTAATTATTTGGCGAGGCATACGACTGGTAGTCGAGCCTCACATGTGCATTCTGTATACTCAATTTTGAAAGTGGAACCTTCAATTGTTTTCCTTGGATTATTTTAGGGTTTATGGGCGATTAAAGCTCTCTTTTGGGAGGTATCTGCACTGACCCTGGTGAGTGTACTACTCACTTGTGTGTTACTATATGGCTATGAATGTAAATTGCATGAAGTGAATTGAATGTGACTTGATTGAAGTGAAAGTGTACTTTATCACTCTCACTTATATGCCTTATATCATTGTTGTCATGTTATTGGAATGTTACATGAAATGTTACATGAAATGAAAGTACTTGACTTGGTGTCGATCGGACGAGTATCCAACGACTACAAATGTTATCATTGAACTCAACCCCATTGGTAGTTGATTGAATCGAGCCAGCAAGGGTTTGGTCGTGACAATTAATGAGTCTTGGGTAAAGTTATAATGAATCTTGTAGTATGAGAGACTCTCGATTCCGGTATACTCGAGTAATACCACAATGCAAGTGTTTGGAGTGCGGGCCCGGTAGGGGGATGTTAGGTGGAAGGAATGGGAGAGAAGTGGAGTCTACGGTTGGTTACTTTTGAATATTGACGAAGAGTCAATGACGTCCGATCAAGAAATGCAAACGAGGAAAGGACTCTTGAGAGCCATCTGTATCCTTTTATCACCATATTTGAAGTGTGCCTTTGCTTATTTTTACTAAATTGAATGAAAGTTTGATGCTTATATGCACTTGGGTGCGTAAGTGATAGTATCTCACTGGGCAATTAGCTCACACCGTTCTTTTGTTTTCCTTACAGGAATATGACTCTTTTTGGAATGAATCTTGATAGATGGTTGCCGAATGAACTAGATGTATATCTCTTTTGTATTGTATATGAAGTGAAACCCTAAATGTATCTTTAGGGCCGTTTTCACTTTCAATTTGGCAAACCGTGTATATATTAACTTTTGAAAACTTTTGTATGTCACTTTGGATTGAATTTGATAAAGTTCAAGATGTGAATATTTGTTTGATATTTGGTTGCGTTCGGACGGGTCGGTTACTATTCATGGCCAACTCCGAATTTCATTTTTTTTATTTTGGGTTATTTTGCCCTTTTGCCTTGTTTACGCGCGTTATAAGTTCCGGAACGCAATAGATCGCTCTAAACTGCACCGTTAGTCCTGGCGAGAGTTGGGCAGGCAGTCCGCTAATCCCTTTGGTTCGCCTTAGGGGAAGGTGGGGCTGTTACAATGTGGCTTCCTTGAGGTTTCCAAAATTACACCTACCTCCGTTATTGATTTAAAATGACAATACTAACCTTAATATTTGAATAAAACTCTCTTGTTGCCATGTTTATACAAAGGATGGATTTTATAATTTTTTTTTCTTTTTCCTTGTTATTCATTTCTCTTATATTTCATTAGAAGTATAGAAGAACTATCAATGTTTTCGCTAATATCTATCCAAATCAAACGTTAAACTAGTAATTTTTTTTATGACTTTTAATATCATCCAATTTCTTTGTAGTTTTTTTTTTTTATCAAGATCAAGAATAAGTCAATAATAATAAAAACAAACTATGGTAGTTCCACCACTAAACTAATTCATAAACTTTTATTAAAAATAATAGTCCATAAAGTTAAAAAATACAAGATAACACTTTCTTCTCTATCTTAAAAAGAATCTATATTCCCAATAAAATACTATAAAAAATTGCTTATCATAGCAAAAGATTTATTGTTATAGTTGATTATTAAATAACAAACATTAGAATGAAAAACTTGAGACTCCTTTTTTTTAAATAATTGTGTCAAATTACTTTACAATTGTTTAGAAGAATGAATTAAACTTTATAAATAAGGGCATTGTAGGGTATTCATTAAATTTTTTACCTTATTTTAAGGTTTGATTACCAAAGTGTCAAATCAAGGGAGGTAAGTGTAATTTTTAAAACTTCAAAGAAACTAAGTGAAATAGTCAAAAACCTCAGGGGAGGTTTATGAAATTATCCCAAAAAGAATTATACTTAAAAAACAATGGTGGACGCAAGTGGTACATCTCTTCAATAGGTAGGACCAATTCGGAAGCCCAAACACCAAATGAACAGCATTGCCAGTCCATCAACACTTCATCTTCATCCCCAAATACTGTGATATTGACAATTTCGAGACACGCCAAAATAGAGAAAAGGACAATGTGGGAGCATACAAGATTAAGCAGAACAATCTACATATTTCTTAGGATGACTATTACCAGATAGACAAACAAAGCTCTCTAATTAACAATGGATTGGACAAACTCTTTGACGAGCTCACACAGAGCATAAACTCTAGGAAGCTCAAAGGTGTCAGCGCCGTGATAACCTCCTTCAGCAAACTTAGCCACCAAAGCCATACCCTTCTCTTGCAACGCTTTCACAAAATTAATTTGATGATCCAACAAAGAATCACCCTCATATCCAGTCACCAAAATCTTCCATCCCAAAGCCTTAATCTGATCAAATCGGCCTGATTTGATGCTCAATAATGGATTACAGAACTCATGATCACGGTCAACGCCAACCGGCAATGATAGCTCCCACATGACATCAGTCACGCAGGGTGGCAAAATCTTGTCATTATCAGCCCTCAACTCTGATTCTGTCCTTTTAGTGCCACCAAAAAATGGTTGGTGCAAAATCAGCCCTTTGATCTCCAAAGGCTCAAGATCATCAGCACATGAAGATGCACTCAGACCGACATGATAGGCAATGTTTCCTCCTGCACTACTCCCCATGAGGAAACTGTTTGATAAATCAGCATATTTTGTCAACCATTCATCCTGGGAGCTCTTGATCCATTGCATAACTTCCATACAATCTTCATAAGCTGCCGGCAGCCTGTGCTCTGGAGCTAGACGATACTCTATGGATACCATCACAACTGGGATATCAACAGTAAAACTGTTGTATAAACTCTCGAAGTAAGGCGTGGCTGCGCTGCAAATAACGAAGCCTCCACCATGAATGAAAATCAGGAGGGGAAGTTTCGTGCCTGGAGAGGATTCAATTGCTTTCCGGGGTAGGAAAATACGAACAAAAGTGTTTTTAGATTGGTTTACTGGGATGTCCTTAACAAGGAGAACTGGACTCTTATCGAATGATGAGACGGGGGTTTTTGGCATATCAAGAAAACGTGCGACTGAGCCATCTGGGTTCCTGACGAAGCCAAGAAAACCATAGGGATCGGTCTGAGGATTCCCAGGTGGAAATTCGGTAATCTTATCGGCCATGTTTTGGTCCCAACTGCCAAGAAATTGAAATTGTTTCCGCTTGGCTTTTGCTTGGATTTATCAACTAGTTGTGGGCATTTAATACTGCAGAGATTTGGAAGAGTACAAGAATAAAATTGTGGCCGGCCGAATTCAGGAGATTCCTGTGTTCGTAAATGACCATTTAATGTTGTACGATGTTCGGTGAGATTTTAGAAATCTATTTATAAATGCAAAACTGTTTTCCCTTCATTTGCTTGGTAAGAAGAGAAAATGGCATGAAAACCTATGCATGGCATGTCTCGTTGATTGGCTAAATCCGTTAAACTGGTTGAACAAATGCAAAATGCTCTCGTCTCCTCGGGTAGACATGACCATGGCTGCAGAACCGTCAATTCTAAAATAAAAACCGACACTTTCAATTCTTCTGAAAGGTGGATGGCATCTGAATCGGTCCTTATTTTTCCGGAAAGGTGGATGATTACGGTAACAATTTTGAATCTTTGGTTTTGGTCCGATTTCGGTTTGAATTTTATTCGAGTTGCAGTTTCGATTCTTTCAGTTATGATTAAACACTTATTATTATAAAATTAATTATAAGAAAGTATGATAATGTATGTAAAAAAAAATAAGAATTTTATTGCATTATCATGTGCAAGAAAAAAGAAAAAAGGTTGCAAATTTTATAAAAGAATACCTTATTGTTGATTATTTTGGATTGGTCTTGAACTTAGATTAATCATGGAGCTTAGACTTACCAATGAGATGGGGCAATGAGTTGTTTGGTTAGGATTGAAGCCGTTGGTATTGAGTGTTAACTATTAATACTAAACATTAAATTGATCAAATATGTTTAAATATCAAGTGTTGTTTTAAATTATTTGAACTAGTTCTAAACCGTGGACTCCTATTTCGATTCAAGTTTGTTGAATCTAAACATGAACCTTTAATCATAATTATGGTTACGGTTCTGATTTGGATTCCAATTCAACAAATCACCGATTCAATTTTCTGGTTCAAACCTAAACTGCGGCATCCCTATCCCCGATACATTAACATATTGTTGACATTGAAAGGGCTTTGGACCTACCGAATGAACATTTCAAGGTTGAAGTATAAGACTACAAACCATGGTACAGTTCACGGGGACGTACAAATAGTATGAAATGACTACTTGACTAGCATCGATTGTTGGCTACTCTGACACGATATAAAATAGTAATAAATGCTAAAAAAAAAGGGCAATATCTAATTTTTTTTTTCTAATTTTTTTTTCTTCAAAGGGCAATATCTAATTGGTTTATGTAAAAACTTGCAGATCCAATGCACATGTAAATTCAAGTACAAGATAAATAGTAAAATTGGACATTGTGCCTATCTAAGTGGAGAGAACGAGATTTAACACTTGAATGAAAACTACAATTTGTCAAAAGAGTTATATAAAGTTAAGTGTGTGGAGAACAACATATACTTCAGGGGCAAGAATTCTAGGTTCTTTTAATTAGTAAAAACTGTTTTAAAAACAAACTTACCTTCTAAATTACTTCTTTAACGGTCTTGTTTGAATTTTTTTTTCTGTAAAAAATTTTTTACGTTTTCCGTAAACACATTTTTTAATCATGTTTTTATCTCACATACATCAAATCGTTATAGTATATTTTTCTACAAAAAAAAACTCTTGAAAATAACAATCTAAAATTAAAAGCAATTGTGTGTTGTAAGTTTCTGCAGAAAGGAAATTACATTGGTCGGATTGATGAGTTACATTTGGACTCGAATATCTCCCTCATTGTGATTCATATGGGAGGTTGTGTAATCAATACCATCATAACCTCCTTTATCATATGGGAGGTTTTCATTGAATATCTCCCTTTTTGTAGACTTTACTGCTAGCATTGTTTTATTAAAATCATCTTCTGCTAAGGATGACCTAGATGATTAAGAAAGTTCAAATTTTCTTACTTTGAATGACAATTAAATGTTTAAGACTATGTAATTAATGAAAAGAAGAAATCAAATGATATTGACACTCCAAAAAAAAAAAGGCTCAAACATTCGACCTGTCTTTTATATTGAGTAAACAAGTGTGCCCCTAAATTATTACTAAGATTACAGCACTACCTCTCTACAATTTCCAGTTTCTTCTTGTCTTTTCTTGTTTCTATAGCTACTAGCCACCAGCCATTGCCATCAATCAACCTTGCTAATGCAAACCGATCCTAAAACTTTGAATATCGTGACAACCCAATGCTCAAATTGCCTGCTTTGTTTCTCCTTTACTTAAAATAGGAGAATAAGGTGCCGTTTGGTAAAAGGGGATCGAAATCAGGAATCAAAATAATTTCAATTCTTGTTGTTTGGGTTACATGTATTAGATTCAGAATCTTGGAGTAAATCATTAAAATTTGAGGATTCTCAATCCCCAACAAATTGGGGGGTTTTGGTGGTTTTCTAAATTTGACTCAATTTGACTCGAAAATTTCAAAAAAGAAAAGAAAATATATCATTTCATCACTCTATCATGTTGGCTGAACTTTCATGGCAGCACTTTAGCATTAGATTTCCTCTTTTATCTTTTCTCTCTCATCCCATCTTCTTGAGCATACTTTCATTATCATCCTTTTTTTTTTCTTTCTTCTCTCTTCACTCTCTCCTCCAACCTTCCATGGCAGCAGCCCTTTCCCATCTAGTTCTTTCTCTCCAATCTTGTCAATCTCTCTTTCACTTTCCCTTTTCTTCTCTTTTCACTCTTCTCCTCTTTCCTCCAATACTCCATGGCAGCCGCTTCTCTCTATCTAGTTATCTCTCCTCTTTTTTTTTTATCTTTTTGTATAAACCTTTTTCTCATCTCTTGTCAGTCACTCTCTCATGCTCCACATATTATAAGGTTGATTGGTGATGGTCAGGTGGTGATTCAAGAGAAATTGGTAAAGCATGAATACTTAAGGGTTGGGAAGAAGAAAGTAGGAAAAGGGGAAAAAATAAAGATAAGAAAATGAAAATAAGTTGATTCCAAAACCTTATAAATATATACCAAACACTAGTCATTGTAGTGCTACTTTTGATCAAACTCCATGCTGAATTTTTGGACGTAATTCCAATTACAATTCCGATTCCTAGATTTGAATCAAGCGCCCTTAAATAGATTTTGCACTGTATTGGGTTGGCGTGGGCGCGTGGGAGTGGGGTTAGCTGTGACTCATTGACGGCAAAGTTTGGAATGAGATACACTATTGAGACAGAATTTATTAAAAAAAAAATTTAAAGAGCAGGCAATGGGTAAAAGGCGATTACGATCGGGAAGAGAGAGTTTCCAAAAGGTATCCTTATAACTGTTGGGAGCTTATATGTCAGCATAGTTAATATGAATAAATGTTGGAGTGTCTTAGACTTTGATTAGAACTATGTTTTCAGAACCGGACCGAGTATTGACTCGGTCAAGCTCAGGGGTTAGGGGTCAATGCGTTCAACCGGGTTCGATAGGGGTTGAATCGGATGATGTCATAAATAAAAATTATTTAAAAATTAAAATATTATATGTAAAATATCTAATAACATGTTAATATTAATAAAGATATATTCATATATATTTGATGTTTCAAATATATTTAACAAGAAAATACAAAAAAAATTAGAACAATCAAGTAGCAATTTATATTATTTAATGAGCATTAACAAATTTAGAATTAAAATTATGGACTTAATTGAAAAATAACACCAAACTTTAAGACAACATTGATAAAGTATGAAATATTTGAGATATATTAATAAATTTTAACAATCTAGGGGTCAAAACATAATATTGAAAAATTTTGAGTTTTTTTTTTAAATGCTTGATTGAACTGGAAAATCCGGTTTTTTTTCCGGTTAAACCCAATTTTTGACCGTATTTGACCGAGTTTTTGCTTACCCAGTTTTTAGCATAACTCAGACCAGACACTTGGCCGGTTCCCGGTTTGACCGATCGAATCGGCTGATCCGGTCCGAGTTTTAAAACATAGGATTAGAATGCCAATGTCATTTGCCAAAAAGAAATACGATACAACAAATAATTCTATAAATGATACTCATTGAATAACAATTTTTCTATCTATAAGTTGGTTTGCCGCCTAACCAAAAATGCTGACTCTGCCATTGGTCTTGATGCTTATAACACTAGTATATGCTGACAGACATATTATAACGATAATATGCCGAGGTTCAAATTTGCTGATGGTGTCTTTCTACCAAATAATATATGAAGGATATAAAAATTTTGGAGGCCCTTTGTACCAAAAACTTTATTTAGTCTTCAATTTAACTTTTGAAACTTAATGCATTCCAAAATTAGTCTCGCTCACTTCACATGATCCTTAAAAAAAAGGTTATTTTAGGAGTGAATGAAGGCAATTTAGAAGTAAATTTACGAATTCTCAATTTTGAATGAAATATTAGGTTCTTGAAGAACATTGACAAATGAAATACATTGTGGTAGGCCTTATTTGATAACTCAATTCAACATTTAAATTTAATAGATTCAAATCTTAATATATTTAGACGTGTTTGATATGAAAATTTGAACATTGAATTAATTAAGTGGCACTGAATTTCGTAGACAAAACTTGCTCTAAAAAATAAATGATAAACTATTCATTTATCACTTAATGTGATATATATTCAAATATATCAGATTTACAACTTAATAACTTAATAACTTAATGGATTCAAACTTCAAATTTCAAATTTCAGACTTCAGTTTTCAGACTTTAGTTTTCAAACTTCAATTTTATCAAACGCACCCTTAACAAGGCCAACATTGAATTTACTCTACAAGGATAAGAAACAAAAAGGATGATATACATAATATATTACAACACAAAATAACATAGCACGGTTGAGTAAATAAAAGGCAATTTAATTTTTTTTATCAACCTAAGGTAGACTAAGTGCTTAGGAAGTTGTCCGATGGTGTGTTTTGTTTGCTGACATGTCATTTGATGATTTGCTGAAAAGTGGTCGTTCTCCATGATTGTTGGCCTGTG